TAATATTTGTACCCTCATCATATAACCAACCATAAAACCAAGAAGGGTAAGCTCCTGAAGATGGTGGTTTTCTTTTTTCTATTGTGTTCACTGCTCCACTCACAGTGCCTAGTTTAGTGCCTGACTGTGCTCTATAAGTACTTGTTCATGAATTTAAAGCGAGGGGAAAAAAAACAATTAATTAACAACTAGGAGCCAGTAGACGTGGTAATGGAGCTCTGAAAAACAAATACATATCATTTACAATATATTATTTTCACAATTTTAAGTGAAAAAAACCAAAGTACATAAAAGTTTACATTTGGGTAAAATGACAGAAGAATATATGGAATATATGCCCAGAGTAGTAGTGGCCTGTTGTGGCTGGGGGCAAAGTTAAGGGGTACTTACTTTTATGTATACTCTTTAGTGCCCTGGGCATGTATTACCTATTCAAAAAGTTAAATATATATGATAAAAGTTTGTGTCAACATTTACCATGTTAATAGCAAAACCCTTTAAATTTTATATTTCGATTAGTTGAAAATAATTACATTTATATGAAAGTATAATATAAAAATAACACTGAACAAGAATTCGATTAGAATTCTTATCCTTTACTTTGCCAGTTACCAGATAGATGACTTAATTTCTTAATATGCAACAGAAAGGAATGGTTCTTTCTAACCCTAAAGTATAAAATGTCAACCAATGAAGATAGCATTGCTGATTTTTTTTATGACAAGAAGACAAAACATGTTTTGAGTAAGTAACATGAGGGAAACTCGCACCTTCCCCAACAATCCCCAAAAATCCATGCCCTGGTGAATGCTATATATGGTCTCTTTGTACATATTTATGAAATTGAACAAAAGTGTTTTAGCAAAGTCAAGAACTTAATTCTACCATCCCAAGTCTAAGCATTTCACTTTATTTTAACCAAGAGATTTGAGATGGCCGATTGATCACACCACTGAGCCGTGGTTATCTACTTTAAGTTACTTCTGAAATAGTTTAACCTAATAGTTTCTTAAACTTGGCTGCAAAGATAAATCACCTGAGGAGCTTTTGAAAATCCTGGTGCCCAGGCCGCATCCCAGATGCAGGTGTGGCCCCGACATCAGTATTTTTATGACTCTTCAAATGATTCTAGTGTGCAGCCCAGGTTGAAAACCTGTGCTATAAGCACGTAATGGCACTGAAGCAAAAAACAGTTAGTTATACACATCTTAAATTATAAGAAAAAAAGTGAAACAAGGAAGAAAACTCGTAACTGTATAAAAAAGGTCAAATAGGTAGAAATCTTCTATAAAAATTCTCATGCCTATTTCAACAAAAAAAAAATTGGGGAAAAGAATTAAGAGATCAACAGATATCGATTTCTAAGACAAAGAAACAATTCTACTTTACAAATAAAGAAGCCATTTCCAAAAAGAATCAGTTTTCCAAAATTTCAGGCAAATGGCAACCTTGAATATAGAACTTCAAATGCTACCATGCAAAACAAGAGGTACACAAGAGCAAAACCATAAAAAGTAATTCTAATACATTTGCGCTAGAGTACCCTTTCTTTACAGTTCTTCCTGTTGAATTTCTACCTATTATTTAAAATCCAGATAGATTTCCACTTTTTCCTTAAAGTTTCCTCTGATCATGTCTGAAGAAATTCCTACCTCCCTCTTCTGGTCCATCACAGAGACTAATATTTGTACCCTCATCATATAACCAACCATAAAACCAAGAAGGTAAGCTCCATGAAGATGGTGGTTTTCTTTTTTCTATTGTGTTCACTGCTCCACTCACAGAGCCTAGTTTAGTGCCTGACTGTGCTCTATAAGTACTTGTTCATGAATTTAAAGGGCGGGGGGGGAAAACAATTAATTAACAACTAGGAGCCAGTAGACGTGGTAATGGAGCTCTGAAAAACAAATACATATCATTTGCAATATATTATTTTCACAATTTTAAGTGAAAAAAATCAAAGTACATAAAAGTTTACATTTGGGTAAAATGACAGAAGAATATATGGAATATATGCCCAGAGTAGTAGTGGCCTGTTGTGGCTGGGGGCAAAGTTAAGGGATACTTACTTTTATGTATACTCTTTAGTGCCCTGGGCATGTATTACCTATTCAAAAAGTTAAATATATATGATAAAAGTTTGTGTCAACATTTACCATGTTAATAGCAAAACCCTTTAAATTTTATATTTCGATTAGTTGAAAATAATTACATTTATATGAAAGTATAATATAAAAATAACACTGAACAAGAATTCGATTAGAATTCTTATCCTTTA